TAAAGGGGACCCCCCCCCCCCCAATCTGCCACGTTATGATCGGTCCTGCTGCTGCGATGATCCCGCTGGCTACAGTGACTGGAAGTTCGCTCTACAACGTGAAACCATGCACGAAAGGCTAGTCAGTGGTCAGCAAGATGGCGTATATGAGTATTCGTATTACAGAGAGATCTGGGTGGTGAAGTCCTTTACGATGGGAATCTGCAGAAAGTAAGGTGTCCTCCCAGGTGATCATCATATCCACATCTTTGGAAGCAGCGATGCTGCCTTCCCCTTAAGGAGAAGTTAGAAGAGGTTGGCTCTTAAACCCCGTACACTCCTGTCACACAGCGGTTTACCGTGATTACTGGCGCATTTTTCACCGCGGTCGGAATACTGGGGAGTATTATTTGTCCACCGATGCCCCCCGAACCACCCTACAGCCAAACGCATGGTTTGATTGCCGCATCCGACCGACTTTCCTCACCACTTTCAATAGACAAAAACTGCTAACTCTACGGAATTCTTCCTACATGGGAACTTTCAACGCCCGTGCTTTGTCAAATCAGCAAACAGGCAATGCTTGGTCAGACCTTATTTTCCCCTGAAGTTGATGTGTGCTTTATCTTTGAAACACGAGCACAAGACCGAAGGGTGGTCATGCATCCTACTAAACCAAGGAACAACTCAGCTGTTTCACTACAGAACCGATAATCCGTGGAATGAATGACGTGAGAGTTGCAGTCAGGCCTAGAGCTGAACGCGTTTTGCTGGATTGGGTTCCACTTAACAGTCATCTTTTGGCAGTTCGGTTATCCAGCTCAATCAAGTTCATCGCTACTCAAGCAAGGAACACTGACCATATGATCCTTGTGGTGATGTGAATGTCAAAATCGGTCGTCTGAGCTCCTTCGTATTACATTCACGCGTTTGGGTCGGTGTCGGTGCTCGTCACACACAACGAATAGCGACTCCAGTTTTGTGCGTAAAAACATTTTCCGGCCATCACGAATCTTCAGCGTGCGCGCTCGCATCGCATACCCTGACCATGGACTCAGTCAAATCACGTGTCCACCGGCCATCGGTGTGGAGCCACAATTCAAGATGATTGTTCCTTCTGGCGCACAACTTGATTCCCATCACTCCATAGTGCGAGCATGCTTCCTTCCAGGCTCTCGGAAGAATCCACTGTCTTCAGATAATCGAGCTGGTACTATGCGTCTAAGCTAGGTGAACTACTCTCAGCAGTAAACCAACACGGAACTAGTAGCGAGCACTTGGATGATGTATGACAAATTGTGAAAGGAGCTATCCTAGTGATGTCCGGTACTGTCTGTCTGACTTCCCCGATATGATCAACTGCTCAATGGATATCGTCGAGATCGCTAGTCCTGATGGGTGGTAGGAAATCTGTATTACCAGGTAATGTGTGCCTCGGCGCACTCGAATCCTTCGAGCGCCACTGAGTTCAAATCGATATGCAGTGGTCACGTTCAAACCACGGATCTTCGGGTCAGTAGATTCGCGCTTTAATCAGAGTCATCTCGCCCTCCGCATCTAAGGCAAGACAGGAGTATTCGAGAGGCAGAGGTCGGATTCGAACGACGGAACTTCCGGTCAGTAAATCCGCGCTCTAACCACCGAGCCATCTCGCCCTTTCGGTTGTGTAACGGGGACTCTTATTGAGGAATGTGACCAGCACGAGAAGCTGTGTTGGTTAGGACGTTTTGTGCATCCCGAACCATCGGTTGCCGAAGAAAGTGCTGTTTTCCGTGTCCAAGTCAGAGTGGCGGAAGCAGAGAGGCCACCAAACCTTGACCTGGCAGAGGATGTGCAAGAGATTATGAAACGCTTGGGCGCTGTCGATGCTACTCAACTTCCAGGATGAGGACCGTGAGATTTCCATTGCGCCTGTTCGGAGACGCTGCAAGATGTGGCTGCGAACCGATGCCATTGGTGCTCCTGTCAGTTTCTGTCCAGATTTCCTGAATGAGTGTCTGGTGGTGTAGGCACCTTTGAATGATTGTAGTAAGCTAGCACTAAGTCCCTTTTCTGTCCACTATTATTTCTTCACAATAAGGCTTTCAACTAAATCATGGTTGTACGGCAATAAATCATCAGTATTCAACACTGATGTCATGCTGCCAATGATGATGATGACCTGCGAACTGCATGTTTGCTCTCATTAATGACTGGTGCGTTCTTCGCAGAGCCCCGGTAGTGTGTTCGGAGGGTATTGTGCCATTGATGTGGGACAACTCACGCACTTGCACACCAATTGGTTTGAACGGGAGGTTCAGTCGATGTCCGAATTGCTTAGCGCAGTTGACTCCCACGAGAGGAATTAACCCCAATCGCGAATACCCACGAATGTGGATGAATGGCCGAGTTCTTGCGCTACCAGTTCCGACTACTGTCAAATTATGCAGATGAAGTAAGGTAATCGATTCCAGGATATTTGGGTATCCAGCTGGTCTCTACCAAAAAGCGGTGCCATCTTGCGCTGTATTGCTGTCTGCATTACAGTTAACCGGTCAAGCAGCTGAATGTTTCACTAGTGTATTGCTGTCAACGATTTTGAATTCGCACAGGGATATGGTGGTAGTTGGGGTTTTCTCGGATCCCCATGAGATATACGCTCAATATGTCCAAGTAACTAAGGACCTCGATGCTGATTCAATTTCGAGAGGTGCACAATGGTTGACTTTTGTAAGTTGTTCGGACACCGAATTCTGACATACTCGATATGATGATGATGATACTCGATGGTGCTAAACGAGTTTTCGATATTAGTCTGGCTTTTGGGCGCACATCCATCGGCTTGTGATAGTAACACTATCTGGAATCAGCTTCGAGTGGGTGATTCATGGGCGAACTACTCCGTCAGTCTTGCTATTTTTTCATGGTCCATTCATCCTCGTCATCATATATCAGCTGCAGCACCCTTGCGGTGCCTAGATACCGTGCCATCGGAAGGAAGCACGAGAGCTGGTTGCCCAAGCCTAGACAGAAGGATTCGAGAGGCAGAAGTTGGGTTCGAACAGCGGACCTTCCGGTCAGAAAATTCACGCTCAAATCACTGAGCTATCTCGCCTCCCGTGGTCCATTGCAAATTACCCACTAGCGTTTCGGAGACAACTGGCAAGAGCCACAAGGAATAAAACGAGCCGTGACAAGTTTGAGGCCATAAAATGCTAAGTCAGACCGGTGGCGCTGATAATCCCTAGCAGAGCTTGTACACTGTACTGCGGAAGTTGATCGTGCTTGACGTACATGCCTGGATAGCTGGATTGAATTACTGGATGGCTCTGAGACCCACCCTTTTCATCTGTGTGTTTTCCACTGACCGACAAGAACAAAACCGACCCGGGAAACTTGGGCAAAAGCCTCGATCCTGTGTATCAATCCGTGAA